GAGAACCTTGCTGGTGTACTAGATAAAATTCCTAAAGTTTGGAGAAATTTGGCAAAAGATCCGAGACTTTGTCTCTTTTTATCATACTTGCCATAAATTCATCTCCTTTATATAACATAATACTTTCCACTTTTATATCTTATTGCCTCTCTACTTTAATTATGAATACTAGCAATGTACTCAAGATTGAGACTTTCATGCAATAGATACACATAGCATTAATGTGAATAGTTACTAATAAAAGTATTGAATACTTTTCATCTCCAAAAGATAAAATGTCAAAGGTTCTACAAATATTTGTATGTATAATTTCAATAAGAATTGTATTTCATGTGGCTCATTTCTTAGTTTATTTTCCAATCCCTAATTCAATCTAAACACATTTATTGTTAAGATTTACTATAATTCCATCTTTTACCAAATTTTAAATTCTTTAATTAGAATTCACATCTTTTATGCCACAAGAGATACTTATCCTTAGTACATGTTTTATGCTTTAATAAAAGTTGATCAGCCAATGTACCTAATATAGGCTATCAACTAATATTCTTGAACCGAACAATTAGAGTTCAAGAATAAATTAAAACAACCATCTCTTTAAGTCTATTTACAAACCAGTCATCAATTTTTCTTAATAAAACAAAATCTTATGGAAATAGATGAAACAAAAGTGTTTGGAATGAATCCAAACAAATCCTTTATTCATAATGAGGAGTGCATGTAGCTTCAGGTAGCACTTCACTCTAATTCCCGTAAGTAAGTAGTTCTCACTTGAATTATGGTTTTTGATCATAAATAAATCGTGCACAAAATTAGTTACATGTACATTAGCACCATATTATAGATCCTAAAATGCACACTAAGTATTTTGTAGTGATCAAGAGTTTAAACAGGAAAAAATAAATGATGTGGGCAACAATGCTCTTAAACACAACAAAACAATCGGAATTTGGTTGACAAAAAATGGACTTTATTGAATATGAAATTCAATACAAAATGATAAACAAGATCAAGAACAAAAATCAAAGATGAAAAATACAAGCGAACTAGAATTTTATAATGTGAGGTCAATGTGAATAGTAGTCTGCTCTAGGGTTTTTTGTGTGTGTCTGGTTTTCCATTCTAGCTCCCTTTTATAGTCCTCCTCTCCTCTAACTGCCTCCGCGATCTCCGGGGTCTTACCCTGACCTCAGCGTGCTCGTTGACACGATGATAAGACATGGTCCTGGGCCTTATTGCGGCCATCGGATCCAGCCCTCGTTTTTGTCTTATTTCATGAGCTCTTTTTGGGCTTGCTTGCTTGACACTTAAATTTAGCATTAACGGATCTCGTATTTATCGAAATTAATGTGCCCGATTTTGGGCCCAACAATTATTCATCCACTAAGTTTTTATAAGAAAATATTATTAGATTCGAAAAAAATTTACGGAACTTAAAATGTTACCTTTCTTTTCGA